GTTTGTTTTAATTAATGCTTTTATTTTTTGAATAACCAAAAAGTCATTAAATTAAAATTTTCCTGAATGTTAATGAGGTTAATTTGGGTAAGATCAGGATTCAGGTCGCCGCTTTTGATCCGTCATTTTAGTTTATTATTATCCCACCAATCGTTTCCTGCTCTGATTTTTAGAGGTAAAAAGTTGTGTTTGAAGTGGAGACAGACTCCATGCGCCAGGCTGAGGGTCCTGAGCTGAGGGTCCTGAGCTGAGGGTCCGGAGCTGAGGGTCCTGAGTTGAGGGTCCTGAGCTGAGGGTCCAGAGCTGAGGGATTCAGATCTGTTGCTTTAAGCAGAGAAATCTGGGAGGAGGTTAAGGAAACGATCCTGAAGGACAGGAAAGTGACTGATAAAGTCAACATACCGACTTTCACTTCATTTTCTCCTGTCCAGGACAGCGAGAGTTCAGGGATAGAGTATGGAGGTTCCACAGGGGTTCTTCGTTCTACTCATGGCTCTTCTGACGCCTCCTGAAGGTAAAAGACCCTTTTTATAATAAATGTCTTCTTTAAATGAGTTTTTAATTCCTTCATTTTGACCAAAGTGAGAAAAACAAGAATAATCTGATTTATGTTCCCATCAGCTCCCCCGAACCCACAGCTACGCTGCAAAAATTATGGTTCTTCAAGGGTTCTTTAGTAAATAAAATGGTTCTATAAAGAACCATGATCACTCAAAGAACCCTGTGCATGATTAAATGGCTCTTTGCATGGTGAACGTGTTCTTCAGACTGAGGGAGAATGTGCTGTAGATGGTTCTATATAGAACCTTTTTGAAAAGGGTTCTATATAGCACCAGAAAGTGCTCTTCTGTCGTTACGATATCAGGCTGGTAACAGGAGAAGAATCATTTTTGGTGCTATATAGAACCATTTTCAGAAAGGTTCTGTATAGAACCCTTTTTGACACATTCTCCATCAATCTGAAGAACAATTTCACCATGCAGAGAACCGTTTAATCATGCAAAGGGTTCTTTGAGTGTTCATGGTTCTAAACAGAACCATTTCCTTTACTTAAGAACCCTTGAAGAACCGTTTTTTCTAAGAATGTAGATAATGTTAACGTTACCTATCATTTACCTTACTCCAAGAAAATGAACTATTTAAAATAGTCTCTTCCGCGAAATCATCTACCTGTATGTTAGATCCGATTCCTACAGGTTTACTCAAGGAAATTCTGCCAGAAATAACCAAGCCTATTCTGTCAATAATAAACTCTTCTCTTAGCCTTGGGTACATCCCAAAATCTCTCAAACTAGCAGTAATTAGACCGCTGATTAAGAAAGCTAACCTCGATCCATGCGAACTTTCAAATTATAGACCCATCTCGAATCTCCCCTTTATATCTAAGATCTTGGAAAAAGTTGTAGCAAAACAATTAAGCTCCTATTTGCATAGGAATCAAATACATGAAAAATTCCAATCTGGTTTTAGGCCACATCATAGTACAGAAACAGCACTAGTAAAAATTGTAAATGATCTATTATTATTTTCTGACCAAGATCATGTGTCCTTGTTAGTCCTCCTCGATCTTAGTGCGGCATTTGACACAATAGACCACGCTATCTTACTAGATAGACTAGAAAACCTTGTAGGGGTAACAGGAACAGCTCTTTCCTGGTCCAGGTCCTACCTCACTGATCGGTATCAGTTTGTTATATATATAAATATATTATATAATATAAACGGTGAATCATCTGTTCTCACAAAAGTAAAATATGGTGTTCCACAAGGCTCTGTTTTAGGACCTGTATTATTCACTTTATATATGCTACCACTGGGCACCATTATCAGTAGACACGGCATAAACTTCCACTGCTATGCTGATGACACTCAGTTATACTTAGCAAGCGAACCGGATGATAAAATTAAACTTAGCAAGATTGAAGACTGTATACAAGACATAAAGGACTGGATGTTGAGTAACTTTCTCCTTCTAAACTCAGATAAAACAGAGGTTCTGCTTCTTGGTCCAAAAGCAGCCAGAAACAAACTGTCTAATTTAACACTTAAACTTAACAATTTCTCAGTTGCATCAAGCTCATATGTAAAAAACCTTGGTGTCATTATAGACCCTGATCTGTCCTTCGACACACATATAACTAATATTACTAGAACAGCCTTCCTGCATCTTCGCAATATTGCTAAATTGAGAAATGCATTATCTCTACAGGATGCAGAAAAGTTAGTTCATGCATTTATTACTTCAAGGCTAGATTACTGTAATGCCCTGCTGGCTGGATGTCCCAGCAAAAGCATTAACAAGCTTCAGCTAGTCCAGAACGCTGCAGCCAGAGTTCTTACTAGAACCAGAAAGTTTGACCATATCAGCCCAGTTTTATCAGCCTTACACTGGTTGCCAGTAAAATTTCGGATTGATTATAAAATTCTCTTACTGACCTATAAAGCTCTAAACGGACTCGCCCCGCTGTACCTGAGTGAACTTCTCTCTCACTATGAACCATCACGCCTACTTAGATCACAAGGTGCTGGCTTACTATTAGTACCCAGAATTAATAAAGTTACGTCAGGGGGGAGAGCTTTCTCATACAAAGCCCCCCAGCTTTGGAATAGTCTTCCTGTTAATGTTCGGGACTCAGACACAGCCTCAGTGTTTAAGTCTAAGCTAAAAACCTACTTGTATATTCAAGCCTTTGGTAATTAGTTTTCCCTGTTAGTTCTATACCTGCCAGAGTCTCTGCTGCTCTGCTAACACTGTAATCTGTGATCAGTCACCCATTACAGAACTAACTCTGTGTGTTTTCCTCTCTGTGTGTTTTCCTTTCTTTTCTTCGCCGAGTTGAACAGCTGCCCATCCTGTGCGTCTGATGCTGCTGCCTTTTCTGCCTCGATCGGGTGCCACTGCTCGCCAGCCCTCTGGACCGGGTTACCAACATTGAGCCTCCTGCTGTTCAACGCCGTGCAAACCTCACCCTCACAACCTGACCCCACTGATACTACTGCTGTTGCTGCATGAACTATTCAAAATTATTCACTTGAACCAATCAATCATTCAAACTAATTCAAATTAATCAATCACTCATTGACTGTGTTTTTCCTCTCTTTCTTTTGCCGAGTTGAACAGCTGCCCATCCTGCTGCTGATGCTGCTGCCTCTGCTGCCTTGATCGGGTGCCACTGCTCACCGTGCAAACCTCACCCTCACAACCTGACCCCACTGATGCTGCTGCTTCTGCTGCATGAACTGAACTATTCAAATTAATTGTTTCCTTCACGTTTTACCCTGTTTTTTGTACTATAATACTTTATACTAACAATGTTTACTATCCGGTGTCGACCAGAGGAGGATGGGTTCCCCTTCTGAGTCCTGGTTCCTCTCAAGGTTTCTTCCTGTTTCTCTTAGGGAGTTTTTCCTTGCCACTGTCGCCACTGGCGACGCTCATGGGGGCTCGGACCCGGACTTCTTTTGTAATGCTCATTTCCTTGTAAAGCTGCTTTGTGACAACACCTGTTGTAAGAAGCGCTATATAAATAAACTTTACTTACTTACTACTTACTTACCTACACTACACTACACATGGTTGTTCAAGGGTTCTTTAGTAAAGAAAATGGTTCTGTATAGAACCATGAACACTCAAAGAACCCTTTGCATGATTAAATGGTTCTCTGCATGGTAAAAATGGTTCTTCAGATTGATGGAGAATGAGATGTAGATGGTTCTTTGTAGATGTTTTTTGAAAATAGTTCTAGATAGCACCAAAAAGGGTTACCAACTTTGTCATCGTAACAATAGAAGAACACTTTTCGGTGCTATTTCGAACACTTTTCAAAAAGGTTCTATGTAGGACCAACTACAGCACATTCTCCATCAACTTGAAAAACCATTTCACCATGCGGAGAACCTTTTTATCATGCAAACAGTTGTTTCAATGTTCTATATAAAAGCATTGTCTTTACTAAAGAACCCTTGAAGAACCGTCATTTTTAAGAGTGAAGGCTTAATAGAAGAATACAGTGAGACCATTTAACTGAAAACACACCATCACACAAAATATGATATCTAAACAAGTATAAGTATCTAAAATAGACAAGATACACTGACCAGGCATAACATTCTGACCACCTCCTTGTTTCTACGCTCATTGTCCATTTTATCAGCTCCACTTACTATATAGGTGCACTTTGTAGTTCTACAGTTACAGACTGTAGTCCATCTGTTTCTCTGATACTTTGTTAGCCCCCTTTTACCCTGTTCTTCAGTGGTCAGGACCCCCATGGACCCTCACAGAGCAGGTACTATTTGGGTGGTGGGTCATTCTCAGCACTGCAGTAACACTGACATGGTGGTGGTGTGTTAGTGTGTGTTGCGCTGGTCTGAGTGGATCAGACACAGCAGTCTGTAACTGTAGAACTACAAAGTGCACCTATATAGTAGGTGGAGCTGATAAAATGGACAAAGAGGTGGTCATAATGTTATGCCTGATCGGTGTATCTAATATTTCTCATTCTGAGGCTGCTGTAGGAATATTGAAAGATTATTAAACTTTTTTAACTGTTTTAAGTAATGTATCTTAGGAAAGTGTCTTACTCCACTGGCAGATCATTTCACTTGGTTTAAGCATAATTTCTTGAAATATGCAAAATTATCTTCATTGTTTCTCAAACCAAAAATGACAGAATAATCATATAATATTCTTATAACAGTCTCATAATGAGAAATATTAGATGTTTTAACCATTTTTAAGATGTTTAAGATGTTTTCTCTTGCAGTGCACCTAAAACAAGAAAATGTATGTAAATTAGTTCAATATTCTTATAATAAGCATACAACACTCTCACAATGAGGAACATTAGATACACTGACTAGGCTTAGGATCATTTCACCTGACGAGACGCCGTTCTGTGCAGTGTAGCATCTCCAAAATAGTAAGTTTACAGGAGAGGACAAAACACTCTTAGCTTTAAGTGTAAATCAATGTAAAGAGAGTTTATTCCAAGTGATTTTTAGAGCATTTCTATTGGTCCATTCATCATGAAATTCACACAGCGTAAAGGACAGCTGGAGTGTTGGAATAATGTCGAAAAATAAAAATCGACAAAAATGAAGACAAATGGTTTTCTTTGCACAGCAATGAAATTCAGCGTAGTTTATGAGTAAATTACTCAGATTTCCTGATAAACTGAGGCATAAAAACAAATTTATGATCAATTTAAGAATCAACCATGAATTCAAAGATAGAAACTAGTAAATAACTTTTAAAATAAGATCATTAATCTCGTATTTACAGATCTGAGATTTTAAATTTAGGCACAGAACAGTTTGCAGTGTTTACGTCTCCTCAAGCGAGATGATCTTAAATCTAGTCAACGTGTCTGATATTCCTGAATTTGAGATGGTTGTGCACTTATTCTAAGATCCAGCTTTCTAGATATTTGAACTTGTTTTAGGTGATTTTATCATGTGAAGTGATCTCACTATACGGGCAGAGAAGTCTGCAAATTTCATGCATATTTCTGAGAACACGCTAAATCATCTGCCAACCTGGTGAGAGAATTTTACCCAAACTCACCCAAAACAGACAAAAAATGTCTAGAAATAAGTTTAATAATCTTAAACTAAGCTTACATCACTCTGAACTGGGGAGATACGAATATATAGACTAGATTTAAGATCATTTTACCATTAATTTTCAGTCTAAACTCACTGATGTTACCTTTCAAACTCACTAAGACCAAAAGTGACTGGGCGATTTTTTTCCGCAGACTCTGCGGTCAGTGCATCGTCAGCCATCCTCATCACTCCGGAAAAGCCTCTGGTCCAGCTTGGGAGTTCGCTGAACATCAACTGTTCAGTGTCCTGCTCACCTGGGAAGCCCAGATGGGACATCGTGACAGACTCCACCTCAGTGAGCCCAGACAATCATGACCAGTACAGCATCTTGAAGATTCCGAACGTCACAGTGGACGACGCGTCTTTCACGTGTAAAGCAACATGTGGGCAGAAAACACAAACTGCTGCTGTTAAACTTTACCGTAAGTGCAAGATTTCATACCAATCTGATCTGGAGAACACGGTTCTCTTCATTAACGATAATAATAACGATTGCAGAGGTGTGGACTCGAGTCATGTGACCTGGACTTGCGTTAGACTCGAGTCATGATCTTGATGACTTGAGACTGGATGCGACAAAATCGAGAAAGATGACAAGATTGCGACTCGACTTTGATTCAAACACCAGTGATTCAGACTTTGACTCAGACTTGAGCCTCATGACTCAGAAAGACTCGAGGCCCAAAGTGGAGGAAACGCGGAGAGTCAGACTGCAGACGGGACTCTACACAGTCAGTTACTGTTCATCTGAATGGATTCGTTTCCAGCCGTAAATCAGATCTACAGCGTCGTCAGGCATCTGTCACAGTGTTCACGCTCGGCTTATTCTATTTCAGAAGACGAGTGAAGCATTTAGAGCTCAAGTTCACCTCCATAAACTGGACACAAGACAAGGGTCAACAGCATCAATAAACCCTCACTCAGCACTTAAACTCTTACTGGAGAAACTCAGCAGGCGAACTGACCGTTTTACCCAAAAGAGACTCAGATCTCTCCGTCTGACCGATTTAACAGCTTCTGCAGGTAAAACAAGCGCAGCGTTCGCCACCAGGCTGGAGTTGACTTCTTATTCACCAGCTTCTTGTTTGAATTTTCCGTTCCACCTTAAATGGTTCAGCAGTTACATTCCAGAACCTGACTGCTGCACCATTTAAGGTGGAACAGAAAATTCAACTTCAGCTTCATCGCTCATTGTCATTTCGCTCTTTGCTGTAAACTTCGTTCAGCTCGGTCGTTTTGGTTTCTGTCGTGATCTAAATTTATTTAAAACTAGCAATTATTTTTAGTTGAGCTAGTTTTTATTTGAGTCCTGTTCTCCCAAAAAACATCAATAATTATCTTCAAATATAATATTTTATTAAGTTTAATAGCACTTAGTACTTAGTATAACTATAGTATTAAGTTATTTTTTGTGTATGCTGTAATAATCACGGTTATCTGTGTACCATGGATATTGTATTTTATTTGGAAGGGTGAAAAGATGATTAATAAACAGCCACACTCTACTAACATGCTGTATCACAGTTACCGTCATTTTGGTTCAGTGTTGAAACAGCCTTAAATTAGCTGAAGAATGCAAGCTGATTGTTTAGGACTCAAAGATTAGGACTCAGGACTCGACTGTCTTGACTCAGGACTCGACTGTCTTACTTCTTACTTGCAACTTTGTGACTTGTTCCCATCTCTGGATAACAATAATAATAATATCTTTATTTGTAGAGCACTTTTCATGCCGGTGGCAGCTCAGAGTGCTTTACAGACAGGAGATAAAGCTCAACAGTAACAGAAGAAACTAGTATTAATTTAAAAGCACATAAGACAATAAACCAATCAGATTAAACAGATGAAGACCAAAGAGCCGTAAAAGTGAGCTCTGAGCTCGACTGGCTAATAAAAGCTGAACTGAGCTCCACAGTTTAGAAGCAGAATAACTGAAAGAGTCTCTCCACGTTTTCTGTTTTACTGAAGGAGTTCAGAAGGTCAGAATCTGCAGATCTGAGATCATAAACAGACGGTCAGGAGCTTTAAGGCCATTTAGAGCTTTAAAAACCAGCAGCAGAGCTTTAAACTCTCTCTCTCAGATCCAGGCGGTCAGTGCAGTGTGTAACGGGGTGATATGAGCTCTCTGTGTTGGTGCTGTGAGGATCCGTGCTGCTGTGTTCTGTACGGGTTCTAGAGGATGGACTGTTTTCTCCAGTAAGAAGATCATTACAGTGATCAACTCTGCTGAACAAACGCAGCAACGAGTTTCTCTGCGTCGCTCTGAGAGAGAAAAGGCTGAACTTGTGATTTTCTCACATGATAACTGCTACATTCTTAAAAAGAAGGTTCTTCAAGGGTTCTTTAGTAAAGAAAATGGTTCTATGTAGAACCATAAACTCTCAAATGCTTAAATGCTTCTCTGCATGGTGAAATGGTTCTTCAGATTGATGGGGAATGTGCTGTAGATGCCTTCATATAGCACCAAGCTTGACATCGTAACAGTAGCAGAATCCTCTTTGGTGCTGTAGAGAACCGTTTTCAAAGAGGTCCTATATAGAGCCATATACAACACATTCTCCATCAACCTGAAGAACCATTTCACCATGCAGAGAACTATTTAAGCATGAAACAGGTTCTTATAGTGTTCATGGGCGACTGATGGGGAATGTGCTGTGTTGAATTACGTGTTTTGCAAAAGTACTCTCTTAAAAAAGATGGTTCTTGAAAAGAAGAACCCTTGAAGAGCACGTCCTCTACAGAGAACACGCTTCTGTACATTTCAGTACATAATTACTGTTTATTTACTGAATCTAACATATTGGGGGAAAGATAAAACATAATGTGACCAAAAGTGCACAATTCTGACACATTTATAACGCGTTTGTATTATAAACTCAGCAGTTTGACAGAAATTGTGCAGAACGATGTCCTGTGTTAGTGTGTTCTCTGTAGAGGACGCTTCACTAAGGAACATCAACAAAGCGTGTCATGTTGATCAGGGGGTGTAAATTCTGTTTTCTGCAGATTTTTCTGCCCTGAGCATCACCGCTGACCCAGAGGAGCCGGTGCCCGGTCAGCAGTTCTTGCTGAAGTGCAGAGTGGACGTTCACCGGGAAATGACGGCCGAGCTGAAGCTGAAGCGTGAGGAGACGGTGATGATTGAGCAGACTCTGTGTAAAGACAGTGAAGACTTCCAATCTAGACACTGTGAGGTCTCTGGGCTCACTGAGGCCACTCAGCTCCCCTACCAGTGTGAGGCTACACTGCGGAGGGAGTCGTCACAACACACACAGACAGCTGAGTTACAGCTGCAGCTCAAAGGTAGGTCACCTGACTCTGTTTACACCGATCGCCAGAAGTTTATGGACACCTTGCCTTCAGCTGCACTTTGAATGTCCTCACTTCTTTAATCAAACCCCCACCCCACCTCACCTCACCTCACCTCACCTCACCCCACCCCACCTCACCCCACCTCACCTCACCTCACCTCACCTCACCTCATCTCACCCCACCTCACCCCACCTCACCCCACCCCACCCCCACCTCACCCCACCCCACCCCACCCCACCTCACCTCACCCCACCCCACCCCACCCCACCCCACCCCACCTCACCCCACCCCACCTCACCTCACCCCACCTCACCCCACCACAACCTGGTGAGAGAATTTTACTTCATTAAATTCACCCAAAACAGACAAAAAATGTCTAGAAATAAGTTTAATAATCTTAAACTAAGCTTACATCACTCTGAACTGGGGAGATACGAATATATAGACTAGATTTAAGATCATTTTACCATTAATTTTCAGTCTAAACTCACTGATGTTACCTTTCAAACTCACTGAGAGCAAAAGTGACTGGGCGATTTTTTTCCGCAGACTCATCACTCATCCTCATCACTCCGGAAAAGCCTCTGGTCCAGCTTGGGAGTTCGCTGAACATCAACTGTTCAGTGTCCTGCTCACCTGGGAAGCCCAGATGGGACATCGTGACAGACTCCACCTCAGTGAGCCCAGACAATCATGACCAGTACAGCATCTTGAAGATTCCGAACATCACAGTGGACGACGCGTCTTTCACGTGTAAAGCAACATGTGGGCAGAAAACACAAACTGCTGCTGTTAAACTTTACCGTAAGTACAAGATTTCATACCAATCTGATCTGCGTCTGTCACAGTGTTCACGCTCGGCTTATTCTATTTCAGAAGACGAGTGAAGCGTTTAGAGCTCAAGTTCACCTCCATAAACTGGACACAAGACAAGGGTCAACAGCATCAATAAACCCTCACTCAGCACTTAAACTCTTACTGGAGAAACTCAGCAGGCGAACTGACCGTTTTACCCAAAAGAGACTCAGATCTCTCCGTCTGACCGATTTAACAGCTTCTGCAGGTAAAACAAGCGCAGCGTTCGCCACCAGGCTGGAGTTGACTTCTTATTCACCAGCTTCTTGTTTGAATTTTCCGTTCCACCTTAAATGGTTCAGCAGTTACATTCCAGAACCTGACTGCTGCACCATTTAAGGTGGAACAGAAAATTCAACTTCAGCTTCATCGCTCATTGTCATTTCGCTCTTTTCTGTAAACTTCGTTCAGCTCGGTCGTTTTGGTTTCTGTCGTGATCTAAATTTATTTAAAACTAGCAATTATTTTTAGTTGAGCTAGTTTTTATTTGAGTCCTGTTCTCCCAAAAAACATCAATAATTATCTTCAAATATAATATTTTATTAAGTTTAATAGCACTTAGTACTTAGTATAACTATAGTATTAAGTTATTTTTTGTGTATGCTGTAATAATCACGGTTATCTGTGTACCATGGATATTGTATTTTATTTGGAAGGGTGAAAAGATGATTAATAAACAGCCACACTCTACTAACATGCTGTATCACAGTTACCGTCATTTTGGTTCAGTGTTGAAACAGCCTTAAATTAGCTGAAGAATGCAAGCTGATTGTTTAGGACTCAAAGATTAGGACTCAGGACTCGACTGTCTTGACTCAGGACTCGACTGTCTTACTTCTTACTTGCAACTTTGTGACTTGTTCCCATCTCTGGATAACAATAATACTAATATCTTTATTTGTAGAGCACTTTTCATGCCGGTGGCAGCTCAGAGTGCTTTACAGACAGGAGATAAAGCTCAACAGTAACAGAAGAAACTAGTATTAATTTAAAAGCACATAAGACAATAAACCAATCAGATTAAACAGATGAAGACCAAAGAGCCGTAAAAGTGAGCTCTGAGCTCGACTGGCTAATAAAAGCTGAACTGAGCTCCACAGTTTAGAAGCAGAATAACTGAAAGAGTCTCTCCACGTTTTCTGTGTTTTACTGAAGGAGTTCAGAAGGTCAGAATCTGCAGATCTGAGATCATAAACAGACGGTCAGGAGCTTTAAGGTCATTTAGAGCTTAAAAACCAGCAGCAGAGCTTTAAACTCTCTCTCTCAGATCCAGGCGGTCAGTGCAGTGTGTAACGGGGTGATATGAGCTCTCTGTGTTGGTGCTGTGAGGATCCGTGCTGCTGCGTTCTGTACGGGTTCTAGAGGATGGACTGTTTTCTCCAGTCAGAAGATCATTACAGTGATCAACTCTGCTGAACAAACGCAGCAACGAGTTTCTCTGCGTCGCTCTGAGAGAGAAAAGGCTGAACTTGTGATTTTCTCACATGATAACTGCTACATTCTTAAAAAGAAGGTTCTTCAAGGGTTCTTTAGTAAAGAAAATGGTTCTATGTAGAACCATAAACTCTCAAATGCTTAAATGCTTCTCTGCATGGTGAAATGGTTCTTCAGATTGATGGGGAATGTGCTGTAGATGCCTTCATATAGCACCAAGCTTGACATCGTAACAGTAGCAGAATCCTCTTTGGTGCTGTAGAGAACCGTTTTCAAAGAGGTCCTATATAGAGCCATATACAACACATTCTCCATCAACCTGAAGAACCATTTCACCATGCAGAGAACTATTTAAGCATGAAACAGGTTCTTATAGTGTTCATGGGCGACTGATGGGGAATGTGCTGTGTTGAATTACGTGTTTTGCAAAAGTACTCTCTTAAAAAAGATGGTTCTTGAAAAGAAGAACCCTTGAAGAGCACGTCCTCTACAGAGAACACGCTTCTGTACATTTCACTACATAATTACTGTTTATTTACTGAATCTAACATATTGGGGGGAAAATAAAACATAGTGTGACCAAAAGTGCACAATTATGACACATTTATAACGCGTTTGTATTATAAACTCAGCAGTTTGACAGAAATTGTGCAGAACGATGTCCTGTGTTAGTGTGTTCTCTGTAGAGGACGCTTCACTAAGGAACATCAACAAAGCGTGTCATGGTGATCAGGGGGTGTAAATTCTGTTTTCTGCAGATTTTTCTGCCCTGAGCATCACCGCTGACCCAGAGGAGCCGGTGCCCGGTCAGCAGTTCTTGCTGAAGTGCAGAGTGGACGTTCACCGGGAAATGACGGCCGAGCTGAAGCTGAAGCGTGAGGAGACGGTGATGCTTGAGCAGACTGTGTGTAAAGACAGTGAAGACTTCCAATCTAGACACTGTGAGGTCTCTGGGCTCACTGAGGCCACTCAGCTCCCCTACCAGTGTGAGGCTACACTGTGGAGGGAGTCGTCACAACACACACAGACAGCTGAGTTACAGCTGCAGCTCAAAGGTAGGTCACCTGACTCTGTTTACACCGATCGCCAGAAGTTTATGGACACCTTGCCTTCAGCTGCACTTTGAATGTCCTCACTTCTTTAATCAAACCCCCACCTCACCTCACCCCACCTCACCTCACCTCACCCCACCCCACCCCACCTCACCCCACCTCACCCCACCTCACCTCACCTCACCTCACCCCACCTCACCCCACCTCACCTCACCCCACCTCACCCCACCTCACCTCACCCCACCTCACTTCACCTCACCCCACCTCACTTCACCTCACCCCACCTCACCCCACCTCACCTCACCTCACCTCACCCCACCCCACCTCACCCCACCTCACCTCACCCCACCTCACCCCACCTCACCCCACCTCACCTCACCTCACCTCACCCCACCTCACCCCACCCCACCCCACCTCACCTCACCCCACCCCACCCCACCCCACCTCACCCCACCCCACCTCACCCCACCCCACCTCACCCCAACTCACCCCACTTTCTTTAATGCCTGTATGTTACCAGCTTATCAGTGATGTAGGTAGGATCTTGTCCATGTAATGGTTTACAAACAGGAAGCAGTGTTTTGAAGTCTGATCTGAGACGGAGTGGGAGCCAGTGTAATGCTCTGTGATCATATCTCTTTGTCTTTATTGAGCTCTGGCGGCAGTGTTCTGGATGAGCTGTTTATAGATGAAGCTGATAAAATTTAACAACTGAAATCTACAATCAACATTTTTGTCATCCTTTATATAATTGAAATAAACGGAAATGCAGGTTACCTATGTGAAAAAAGTAAGCGCACCCCTGTATTTATCACTTCTTAAAACATGTCAAATTGAAATCAGGTGCTAATGATTAGAACAGTGTTAGAGGAGATCTTAGAGGAACGTGTCTTATTCAAACCTCAGATATTTGCTCTGGTTTGCTCTTTGTTATCGGAGTGTGTGAGATCATCATGATCAGATCAGAAGAGCTCGCTGAGGCCTTCAGAAAGGAAGATGTAGATGCCTCTTATTCTGAGAGGGAGTTTGAGAAGGTTTCCAAAACACTGGAAATCAATCATTTCACTGTCCTGAAGATCATCTACAAGTGGAAGAGATTTAAAATCACAGCCAGCTCTTCCAGGCCCAGGCCAACCCAAAATTAGTCTGAGAGGAGATCTTAGAACCATAAAAGACGTCTCTAAGAACCCCAAAATATCACCAAAGGTTCCGCAGATAGCTCTTATTACTGTTCATATAAAAGTGCATCTACCATTAGAAAAAGATGTCTAAAAAAGGACATCAGAGCTAAAGTTTACTGATTAATATATAGGCAAGGACCAGGACTTCTGGACAATGTTTTCTGGACAGACAAGTCAAACATAGACTTGTTTGGCCACAGTACCAGAAGCCATATTTGGCGAAAACCAAAGACAGCATTTGATCAGAACAACCACATACCAGCTGTGAAGCATGGTGGTGGTAGTGTTATGGCTTCTTTGCTGGCCAATTTGCAATCAGAGAATCGACTATGAATTCTCTTTCATGTCAGAGAGTGCTGGAGGAGAATGTGAGGCCATCTGTTAAAAAGTTGGGCTGATGAAGTGGATCTTCCAACAGGATAATGATCCCAAACATACAAAATAAATAAATACACCAAAGAACATCTTGAAAGCAAGAATCAGAGGGTTGTGGAACGGCCCAGTCAAAGCCCATTGAAACGCTGTGGGGGGATTGGAAACAGGCTGCATGTGCAAGAAACCCCTAAAAGCTACACATTTTACAGAAATCTGCATGGAGGAGTGCACAAAAACTTCTCCCTGTAGATGTCAGAAACTGGTAGACAGTTTTAGGATAAAGTTGTTTCTGCCAAAAGGGGTGGTACCAGGGGTGTACTTACTTTTTCACCAGAAAAAAAGGCATCTGAGTTAATTTATTTTTAAATGAATGATTGAAAAGTCAAATTTTCATTGTTTTTGTTCTGTAACATAAAATTTAACAGTACATACAATTTAACTGAAGATGAAATACTGATACACCCACATATGTCAAAAACCTGAAATGTTTCATGGGTTGAAATTGACTGTACTTATTTTGTGTACATACCGTCCTTGAGTGTCCTCGAGCTGATGTTTGTGTCTCCTCGTCTCTGAGTTGTGTTAGATCAGCAGTTTTAGAGAGAACTGATGTGACATCTTGATGTTTTTCTAGAACCTCTGAGTACAAAACCTCCAATAAAGGCCACATCACCACCGGCAGAACCTCCGTCCACAGCAGCCCTGAACACTGAGAGAGTTCCTGTCCAGACAGAGCGACCGCACCCTCAGTCCACCGCTGCATTTAAAGGTTAGACACACTCACACACTGGAGAGCAGGTTCAGCTCCTTCCACTGCGGTCAGAAAGAGAACGAGAGTCTTTGGGCAAGAATCCCCAGAGTGACACAGCGCTGGAGTTATAAATGTTTTTTTTTATTTAATGATCTAAAACACAAACTGTTTTGATAATTTGCCTAATTTGATTCTGCACTTGACCAGTGACCCCACGTATAGATCTTCACCTACCTCGCATTCTCTTATTCACAGGTCCAGTTTGTGCGCTAGGACTGGGCAACATGACAATACTGATCGTTATCATGATTCATTTCCTCACAAAACGTCACAACATGCTTTTCTGAGCATATCATGGATGAACAACACTTAAACACTTCCCCAACACTTTGCTTTATGCAGTGCATTGTATTAGTTTTTGATAGTATTTTTTAATAATAGGTGGCTCTACTTTGTCTGTTCTAACTGAGGTGTCAGGAAAAAATAAATATCACATTGTGAAAACTTGCTCAAGTATCACGATGGCATTTTTGCCATATCGCCCACCTCTAGTTAACATGTGCCTTATTTAGCTGGTAGTGTAGACTAAATATCCGTCACAGTCGCCCTTAATTTAGTCAGAATACCCAGAAAGTGTGTGTTTAAGCTGTAATGGAAATATGGCAGAGTGTGCAAAGAAAGCCTAATAACGAAAAGAAGAAAAGAAGAAGAAATTTCTTCAAACAAGCAATATTTGGGACCAAAATGTCTTTAAAATGGACTTAAATCAACACTGCAATACTTAAAGTACTACGCATTCCTGAAAATACTCCTTAGACGACGTGGATACAAGCGAAGATCAGCCTCAGTGCGTGAAATCAAGCGCCGGGCACCTCATTTAAATATCATTTACATGGAGCTCGCCCTAATTCATACAGATTTTTGGGTAGTGAGCCAATAAAATGACAGCATTTATAGGTGGGGTTTGAGGTGGAGCATGAGTCCACTGCTCCCCCTACTGACCAAACTTTATAGCATTAAGATTACGACTGGAAATAATAAAATGTGACATAAACATGTTTTAGTTCTTTTTAGATGGTAGAATGTTGGGACTGTGATTATTAAAATAACAGATTTAAACGCTGTATTATTGCAGTGTGACACTAGCACTGTTTGGTGTTGTTTATTTTGTGGGCGGAGTCAGTAGTATAAGACAGAAGCACAGTGTAGTCTTTAAATGGAACATGGAACAGTTGCAGTGTTTATAATAGTGTGCAAGTAAAATAAGTACATTAAGTATTTATTTTTATTCTTTTTATTGGTATTATAGAAAATACTGATAATAGCTTTGTTTATTTAATCACAAATCAGGCCTTTTTTCAGGTTTTTGAACCATTACACTCTAATGAACACTCCTAACTCCTAACAGATGTGAGTTTGACTACACAGATGTGCCAAAGATGAAACTGATCAATAACAAAAGATCATGATGTAGTAATATTTTAAGTCATAACTGTCTGAACAGTCTTGGCTGGTCATCTCTTTGGAATCTTTTACTTTCCTTTTAAAACAGAAAACACCGGAACTTTCTCTTTCAGTCTGGAATGTTAGGAAACACTTTGGTGTGGTCAGCATCCTTTGATAAACGATTTTCATGGTTACCAAAGAAAGAGCTGCTCCTCTCTCAGATCCTCCTGTGGGATTAAATCTTCACTTACTGAAGTTTTCAGGGCAAAGAACCAAAGATCTGGGAGGTCCTCAAACAGCTTCACTGAAGCGGCAGCGGAATGACATGGATTTCTGCAAGGTTTCCCACTAAAATGAGCTTTATAATGTGTCTTTTATATTCCAGCAGTAAAAGAAGAACAGAGAAGCTTTATCTGCTGTCTGTAAAGAACCCTGAGCTAAAACCAGCATGACAAGTGCTCTACAAATAAAGATATTATTATTATTATTATTATTATTATTATTAATAAAGACATTCAAAGAGCCAGTAAACTGTGTGTTTATGACCTTTTTCTTGAGGCTTTTTGGCCCTTGAGCTGTGTGAAATCACCAAGTGTCTTAGTTAAGCCAGAATCTGATGTCAGCTGTTGTGTTTGTTTTTATAGAATCTGCTGCTGTGAGTGAAACCTCTCCTGTTAAAGCCACGTCATCTACAGCAGCTGGAGCGGAGACTGAGGGTAAGACTAAAGAGTTCAGCAGTCTCTGTACAAAGGTACTAAAAACACCTGCTGAAATAAGGGGAACTCCACCAATTTCATAAATCCCCCCATAAAAAGATTCCAGGTTCTGGATTCTGAGTCTTAATATTTGTACTTAACCCTTAGAAACTTAAAATTTCGGGGATTTGGTATTTTTTGGGTCAATTACAATTGTAATCATAAAGTATTTACATGAGACAGTCACACAGGCCGTATGTTGTTATTTTCAGGAGACCCTGGGCTGCTCAGATATGCCATTGTTTGACATGTAAATCCTGACAGAATTTTGATATCTTTATGAATTTGGGTCATTTCTGATCAAAAATGTACTGAGCACCTGCTAAATTTTGTATTTTTTAAATTATAGAGATTCTGAAAACAAGCTGCACCTCAGATACCTGTTCAGAAACTGTTTATCTGGAGTGTCTGTGAGCTGCAAGTTCGTTCATTCTGTTGGTTATTATGAGTAAAAATAAACAGTTATCACAAGGCGGACATGGTTTTTATTGATTTTCTGTCCTCTTGGATTCAGGCTGCTAAAACTCTGAGCTGCATATTTAATATCAGATATTTTTAATACTCATAATCAATGTAAACTGAAAGCCCTTTGTTTATAATATGAAGGCTAAAAGCAGAGATGTAATATAACAGTAGCGAGTGGGTTTGGGTGATTTTAGAGCTGATCTCTGGCTGATGGACGGTCACAGGTGGATGAAGTCACTCTGGATGGTGGGTCAGAGTCTGATGATGATCTGATGTGTGTGTCGCTGTTTTATCCCTTTCTTTGAATATGAAGGCCAAACAGCAGAGCAATAATATCACGATTTTGGGTGATTTTCCGAGCCGAATAACTCACTGATGCTGATGTCACAGCTCGATGATGTCATGCTTGCTAGTTAGGGGTGGGTCTGCTGAATGTCCTGATATGTGGATTATGTTTGTACCTTAAACTGTTCTGAAGTTATGAAGGCTAGAAGTGACCCACCGTTCTGCCCGCAAATTGCGGTCTTAGGGTCATGAAAGGCAAATGAGAAATTTTGAAAAATTGGTGGAATTCCCCTTTAAGGTGTGCCGTATTTCTCTATGTGTATTTTAACAGTTTCATGCTGGAGATGATACGTTAGCAGCAACAAATTCTGATTTATATTCTCCTTTAATTTGTTACTTTTTAAATCCTCTTTGTATTTCATCATTTGTAAAGCGCTCTGAATGACCGCAGTGTCCGGAAGGTGCTGTGGAAACACTCTTAACCCTTTAATGTTCTGCTCAACCATTTGGTAGAGCAATTTTGAGTCACTATACATGCCACAAAGTGCCGTCTCGACCGCTTGGTAGATGTGAATATTTTATAATATCTTAATATCTTAAAATGTTTTATAATATTTTAATATCGTGGGGTCAAAAAAAGCAAAAAAAAACAACAACAAATTTTTTATTGTTGCCCCAAACAAATAAAAAACACAAAAAATAAAATTCCATTGCTTTTTTTCTCGGTGAGGACATTAAAGGGTTAAAGATGGTTCTTCAAGGGTTCTTTAGTAAAGAAAATGGTTCTATATAGAACCATGTATGCTCAAAGAACCCTTTGCATGATTATAAGGTCCTTCACATCATGAACGCGTTCTTCAGGCTGATGGAGAACGTGCTGTAGATGTTTCTATATCAAACCTTTGTTGAAAACCCAGACAGCAGCGTATATCGGTCCTCTGGTCCACCCAGATTACTGTCCTGCATACAAGCTCTAACTAGTTTTTAATCTCCTCAAACAGATTTTAAATGCTCAGAGACTTTTATTTTAGAAAATAAACTCAAAACACAAATTTTACAAACAACCGAGGGAGAAAAAATAATGATGAGGCCTGTAAACTGATTTTATAGAAAATGTTGTTGACTCTGAGCTGGGTTAAAATTATTACTAAACTAATTTACAAAGTGTGACTAAAGAATAGAAGGAAGGAAAAATCAGTAAACTGGACTGTGAGTGACTGTGAGGGGACTCTGACTGGACTCACGTGATGCTGGTTGTCATGGTAACGTCTACACTAAGCGGTTCTCTACACATGCGTGTGATATTAGATCAGATTACTTGTAGTGAGAGTGTAAACGTAGATTTTCATCAGAGTGCTGAGTAGAGTGAGAATAAACACCTCAGTCTGAATCTGTAATCAGAATGTATTTAATCAGACTGGAAAAAATCTCTGCATGTAAACACGTTTTTGCATGTAAAGCCAGTGGTCCACTGTACTCTTGCTATCAGGGAAGGGTTCCTATAGCACCAAAAGTGGTTCCATTACTGTAACAAGCCACAGAACACTTTTTTGGTACTATATAGAACCCTTTTTGCTGAGAGTGTAGCCCTGCCTCGGGTCACTGGTGTCAGTTTGTGATGGTGTGTTTGAGGAAAAGCAGGATCGACTCTAACGCAGCGTTTCTCTTGTTTTCAGCTCAGTCCTCTAAATCCGGGCAGACTGTGATGGTAAGTGTGCCAGTCATTCTGGTCATTGTGGGCATTCTGGCTGCCCTGACTGGCCTGTTTTGCTTCTGGAAGAAGCGTGAGAGTCAGGAGAAACCAGAAGGAGAAATGCCTCCACCCTAGCCTGTTAGCCTGTTAGCCTGGTTTGTTGTTTCTGCCGCTGGTTTGTATTTAATATGTTCAAGTATAACTTCTACTTTTACAAAGTTAAAAAATTATAACGTCCTAATTAACTCGACCACAGCTTCCTCTCTGTCTGAGTCCGCCTCAGGTTTTTTATTTTATTTTATTTTATTTTATTTTATTTTATTTTATTTTATCTTATTTTATTTTATTTTATTTTTATTTTATTTTATTGTATTTTTATTTTTATTTTATTTTATTTTATTTTATTTTATTTTATTTTATTTTTATTTTATTTTATTTTATTTTTATTTTATTTTATTTTTTTTTTATTTGATCTTATTTTATTTTATTTTATTTTTTTTTTTTTATATTTTATTGTATTTTTATTTTATTTTATTTTATTTTATTTTATTTTATTTTATTTTATTTTTATTTTATTTTATTTTATTTTATTTTATTTGATCATGTAGACCTTTTATTCCTCTCTTCCTTCTTTTTACACACAAAACGTCTATAAATGTGAGTTAATCGGATTGACAACGGGCTCTTTGTACACACTTGGTTCAAAAGATGGTTCTTCAAGGGTTCTTCAGCAAAGAAAATGGCTCTATATAGAACCATGAACACTCAAAGAAAGGGTTCTTTGCATGGTGAAATGGTTCTTCAGATTGATGTAGATGGTTCTATATAGAACCTTTTCGAAAAGGACTCCTTATCACACCAAAAAGGGTTCTTCTACTGTGACAAGCTTGACATCGTAACAATAGAAGAACCCTTTTTGGTTGCACATAGAACCCCTTTTCAAAAAGGTTCTATATAGGACCATATAAAACACACTGTTCATCAATCTGAAGAAGGATTTCATGATGCAAAGAACCCTTAAATTGTGCAAAGGGTTCTTTGAGTGTTCATGGTTCTACATAGAACCATTTTCTTTGCTGAAGAACCCTTGAAAAAACATCTTTTATGAGAGCGTACTTTCCCTGCACTGTTTTGCTCATATTTAAATATTCACTATGTTTGGTCTGTTGTGCACATAAATAAATAAATAAATAAATAAATAAATAAATAAATAAATAAATAAATGTTATAATTAAGTGTGAGATAGCTCAGTGTCTCACAGTAACACCCTCACAGCATTACAGAGCGTAAGACAGGGTTGTTGTGAAGGAACCGGACTGCAGAGGGAACCCTGTGATGTTTCTACAGGACATCAGAACATCTGCTAAATTAGATCTTCATTTACAAATGGACCTCAGGTCTGATCAACTACAGGGATTTTTCTCACAGAACCATTTGGCGTCCAGCAGGGGGCGCCCACAGTCCATGTCTTCTGTTTTAGGGTGAGTTATAAGTGGTCACTGCAGTTCTTCCTCTCACCTGATGGTGGCAGCACTGCTCTAAGATTACTCTGACTGACCTGCAGCTTCATTTACTGACCCACATTTAGTCCAGACTGAGCCGTAAAGCTCAGACTGACACTGAGAGCCGCAGGTTTAGACGGAAATTTGAACTTTTTCATCGAGAGACGCAGAAAACGAGCCTCATATTTCAAAACTGTAATGAATTTAATATAAACAGACCTGAAAAACAGCAGAACATCACAGTAAATATTCAGGAGAGACACTAAAGCAGCTGCAGCTCTGAGTCTCACAGCACCGACTTCACATCAGAGCAGATTCAGCAGATCAGGACATGTTAACCCTTTAAGGAGGATCAATAACGGCTGATTATGATGATCGAATAGATTTTCTCCTTTAATACAGAGATTTCTGAATGAGGTCGCTGTGATTATCTGATATACGATCTCACAGAACTGAAAATTTATAGATTTCTGTTTAGTTTTTCTCTTAAATATGAATATAATTAATACATTAGTCGTGTTTTATTGTGACTCTTAAACACTTTTTGTTATCAGTGCTCACTGATCCAAACTGCTCTGATCAGTCCGACAGTAACAGAAGCCTTGTGCATCTTCTACTCAGTGATAGGAAACACAGCAGTTCTGATTCTGTGAGCTGATATTTTGACTCAGTATTTTGAATCATTTGTGAATAATATTTGGGCTCTCTGGTATTTTGACGCAGTACGATCTGGCCCTCTCTGAAAAAAAGTTTCTTGATAATTTTGATAATAATTTGATGAGTTTGATGATAGTTTTGATGAGTTTGATGATAATTTTGATGATAATTTGATGAGTTTGATGATAGTTTTGATGCGTCTGATGATCATTTTGATGATAATTTGATGAGTTTGATGATAATTTTCTAAGTATTTAGTTTCTGAACCCATTACAGTTTAAAAGCAGTGTAAAAAGATTAGCTGGTTTTAATAAATATATAATTATAGGTTTCATATCATCAAAAATCAAATTTTCCTTTTTTTTTTAATTTGAAGACTTCAGTTAAAAGTCCTTAAAGCACCATGTATGGAAACTAAGCTGACTCCTAAACAGTTAATGATGTTATCTGATCCACTGATCCAAACTGCTCTGATCAGTCCGACAGTAAAATAAGCCTCGTGCATCTTCTACTCAGTGATAGGAAACATAGTCGATCACAGAGAGCTCTGCTCCTCTGAGGGCAGATTTATACACGGTTAAGGGGCCGTCAACAAATTCTCTGAATGGATCACCAGCAAGTTAGGGATGTCTCCTAATTAAAGGAGAAGATCAGATCGATCATCATAATCAGCCGTTATTGATCCTCCTTAAAGGGTTAACATGTCCTGATCTGCTGAATCTGCTCTGATGTGAAGTCGGTGCTGTGAGACTCGGAGCTGCAGCTGCTTTAGTGTCTCTCCTGAATATTTACTGTGATGTTCTGCTGTTTTTCAGGTCTGTTTATATTAAATTCATTACAGTCTTTTGAAATATGAGGCTCATTTTCTGCGTCTCTCTGCTGCCCCAATCAGGTAAGAGGAGGAACTGCAGCGAACTGGCTGGAGGGCCACTTATAACACACTCTAAAACAGAAGACAGGGGCCGATTACAATCTGTCTGAGGGCCACATTCTTTGGACACCCCTGATCTCAGTGTTTGTATTTTTCATATTTTTAAAAAAGTGATATTTTGAATCATTTGTGAATCGTATTTTGGCCCTCAGGTGTTTTGAAACGGTCCAGTCTTTGAAAGTTTGGACACAGTAAACAAACACTGCTCAGGTTTAAAAGAGACGCGGACTTGATATGAAGTATCGAGTTCTAGATACAGTTTAACTGAATTCTTTCCATTTATCTTTGACCAAAATCCAAAAATCACATTTACCAAGCAAGAGAGCACTATTATCATAAAAATGTAGCTCTTACTTTTATTATTATTATTATTATTATTGTTAGTCTCTTTTTCTTTCTATTATTGTTTTTTAATATTTTTTCTATTACATTCTTAGCTTTTGTTCTTTTTTATTATTAATTTTTAACGTTATTTTTCCATATTCTTGCTACTTTGTGTATGACTTTATTTGTATATTTGTATTGTCCCTTTTTGCCTGTGGGCTGCATTATATGTCTGAAACATACTACAAATAAAGGTTATTATTATTATTATTATTATTATTATTATTATTATATTAAAGAAATGGTTTGTCCAAAAATTTGGCAAAAAAGTCCCCCCCCCTTTAACCCAAACAGTCAATCAGGTGAGGCGTGTTTGGTGTCTGAAGTTTGTTTCTTTAGTTTATTTTTGAATATACGAGGCTAATGTAGCTAACAAGTAATAGAAGCTTATGTACACCAATTAGCCTGGTGCTAACTGCAGGCCTAAATCACCTCAGACTGTGTGGAGGTGTTCAGTATCTCTAACAGTCTTGATTCTGTGGTTTCTGACTCTGTATGACTCAGTGTGATCTATAAACATGGACTAAAGTACAGTAGCAGAGCTAAAACAGCAGCATCAGCCATATGGAGCCGATTCCTTACATTCAGATTTGATTAAGAGCTCATTTAACCGGACGGCTTAATTAACAGCTCACGTTTGGAGCTGTGATTCCTTCAGTGACCACCAGGGGTCAGCAGTGTGTCACTCCACATCTGCCAGGCCTCAGAACATGCCTAGATTACATTTAGCCTTCATATTCAGAACTGTGTACAGGTTTTAACACACCTGCCGCTGTTTATCTGGGCGGTGAGCATTTACATGCTCAGAAAAATATTAATATTACAATAAATGCAAAGAATATTAGTGATTTTATGTGTGTTGGTGTGTTTGTTTAACTCTTTCCTGCCCTCTCCTCAATACCTGCTTTATATAATCAATACTTTATTAAATTAAACAAGGTGAGCTGCTGATTGGTTTGTACAACTCAGCAGCACTTAATAGATCAGTAATAAGTGAGTAATTATAGGGTAATATCATGGTAACAAGCTCATTTTTATTTTTTAATGATGTGTAAGTAGTTGTATCAGTAACAGGTCAGTGATAAAATGAGCTGGACGTGATATAAAACAACATAAAATGTATAAAATATAAAATGGGAGGCCAGATTGACCAACACTGTTTAGTATTACTCACATTCTTTTTTTCTATATAGAACCATGAACACTGAAAGAGCCCTTTGCATTAAACGGTTTTCTGCGTGGTGAAATGGTTCTTTAGATTGATGGAGAATGTGCTGTATATGGTTCTATAGAGCACCAAAAAGGGTTCTGCTACTGTTATGATGCAAGGCTTGGTACAATAATAGCAGAACCCTTTTTGTTGCTATATAGAACCAGATATAACACATTCTCCATCAATCTAAAGAACCATTTCACCAAGCAAAGAACCGTTTAAGCATGCAAATAGTTCCTGTGTTCATGGTTCTACATAAAACCACTGTATATGTAAATTCATATGCTAATTATGTTAGTCACATAAACAGTACACTCTGAATGGACAGGTCGGACTATTTTCTGGTTTTACCAGCGAAATTACTAATAAACAGTAAAGTGGCCTGGGCTGAGAGTTTCGGCTCCACACGGCTTCAGTGAAATAATTCATATACACTCATAACCAGCTG